GGAATGGGAATGGGGTTTGGGAATGGGGTGGGAACAGGAATTGGGGCAGGAGTGGGGTAGGGATTGGGGTGGGAATAGGAATGGGGGTGGGAGTGGAGTGGGAATGGGGGAGTGGGGTGGGAATGGGGGAGTGGGGTGAGAGTGGGAATTGGCGTGAGGATTGGGATGGGATGGGGTTTGGGAATTGGGGTGGGAATTGAGGTTTGAGGTGGGAATGGGATATTGGGGGCTGGGAATGGGATGGGAGAGGGGTTTGGGGGATGGGAATGGAGCATTCTGTGGACATTTTACAGGATTTGGGATTCAAAAAAGACATTTAAAAGTTGAAGCTGATTTTGGGGTGTCCCCCCCGCTCAGGTCGACGTCCTGATGGAGGCAGCTGCCCACGGGGAGAGTGACCCCATGAAGGGCGTGTCCGAGAACATCATGCTGGGCCAGCTGGCCCCGGCCGGCACCGGCTGCTTCGATCTCCTGCTGGACGCCGAGAAGTGCAAGCACGGCATGGAGATCCCCAGCGCCCTGCCCGGCCTCGGCGTCGGCGGCCGTGAGTCCCCAAACCCTTGGGGACACCCCCTGGGAAAATGGGGACACCCCTTGGAATGGTGGCCAGGTTCCTCCAGGAGCAGCTGGGGACACCCCAAGGGTGGTGGCACAAAGACCTTCAAGGTCATGGTGCTCACTGGCCGGTTCTGGGTGTCCCGTGGCAAGAGGGGACAGCCTCGGATTTTGGGGGCCGTGCAGATTTTGGGGTACACCAGGACTTGATCCTACAAGGGAGGAGTTAGGGTTGTGATGATGGTGACACGAAGACCCCCAGTGTCACCATGGCCACCACCGTGTCCCAGCTCTGGTCACCTGGTGTCCCCCAGATGTTGATGTCCTCCAAATGTTGGGGTCACCCCCAGATTTTGGGTCCATGGGGGAACAGTTGGGGACACCCCAAGGGTGATGGTGACACAAAGACCCCGGATGTCACCATGGCCACCACCACCATGTCCCAGCTCTGGTCACCTGGTGTCCCCCAGATGTTAATGTCCCCCATATTTTGGTGTCCCCCACATGTTGATGTCCCCCAGATTTTGGGGTCCCCCACATGTTGGTGCCCCCCAGATGTTGATATTCTCATATTTTGGGGTCCCCCCATTTTTTTGGGGTGCCCCTGACCCCGCTCTCTCCGCAGCCACCGGGATGTTCTTCGGCTCGGCCCCCAGCCCCATGGGGGGGATGTCCCCAGCCATGACCCCCTGGAACCAGGGGGCCACCCCGGCCTACGGCGCCTGGTCCCCCAGCGTGGGTGCGTGCGGGACTGGGAGGGACTGGGAGGGGTGTTTGAAGGGGTCTGGGGTAAAGTGGGGGTCACTGCGATGGCTGTGGGAGGAATTTGGGGTGTCCTGGGGTGCATTGGGGATGATGGAGGGGTCCCCCAGACCCCCTTTTCCCCCACAGAGCAGGATGGGCCCAGGTTGTGTTTGGGGGTGGTTTTGGTGTCCTGGGCTGGTTTTGGGGTGCCCATGACCCCCTTTTCCCCCGGGTGGGGCCGGGTTGTGTTTGGGGCTGGTTTTGGGGTCTCAGGTTGTGTTTTGGGGTGCCCCTGACCCCCTTTTCCCCCGGGTGGGGCCGGGTTGTGTTTGGGGCTGGTTTTGGGGTCTCAGGTTGTGGTTTGGGGTTCCTGGGCTGGTTTTGGGGTCTCAGGCTGTGTTTTGGGGTGCCCCTGACCCCCTTTTCCCCCACAGGCAGCAGGATGGGCCCAGGTTGTGTTTGGAGGTGGTTTTGGGATTCCTGGGGTGTATTTGGGGTCCTGGGGTGTATTTGCGGGTGGTTTTGGGGTTCCTGGGCTGGTTTTGGGGTGCCCCTGACCCCCTTTTCCCCCACAGGCAGCGGCATGACCCCGGGCGGGGCCGGGTTCTCCCCCAGCGCCACCTCCGACGCCTCCGGGTTCAGCCCCGGCTACTCCCCGGCCTGGTCACCCACGCCCGGCTCGCCGGGGTCACCCGGCCCCTCCAGCCCCTACATCCCCTCCCCTGGTGAGTACAGCGCCAACAACACCCCAAAATAGCCTGAAATAACCTCAAATACCCATAAAATACCCTGTAACACCTAACAACACCCTGAAACACCCTAAAATAGCCCAAAAATACCTGTAAGACACCATGCAACCTCCAGCAACATCCAGAACACACTGAAACACCCCGAACACCCTAAAATACCCTGAAATACCCTTAAAATTGCCCAAAATACCCTGTAACACCTAACAACACACTGAAACACCCTGTAACACCCTAAAACACCCCTAAAATAATAGAAAATAACCCAAAACACCCAGAGAGCACCCTGTAACCTGTAACAACACCCTAAACATCCTCTAACACCATAAAACACCCTGAAATAGCCCTAAAATAACTTCAAATAATGCAAAAGACCCTAAACACCCTGTAACCCCTAACGACATCCCATAACACCCCAAAACACCCTAAACACCCTGTAACCCCTAACGACATCCCATAACACCCCAAAACAGTCCCGTAACACCTCCTCACTGAGCCCCACAACACCGCAAAGGGACCCCCAAAACCTCCAACAGCCCCACAACACCCGAACAGCATCTCAAAGGGCCTCACAACTCTCTACAACACCCCAACACTACCTCAAAGGGACCCCCAACACCTCCAACACCCAAATAACACCTCAAAGGGACCCCCAACACCACCACCAACCCTACAACACCTGAACAACATTTCAAAGGGCCTCACAACCCTCTACAACACCCCAACCACCCCCCCCAACACCCTCCTGACCTCCTGTCCCCTCTCCGCAGGTGGGGCCATGTCCCCCAGCTACAGCCCGACGTCCCCTGCCTATGAGCCGCGGTCACCGGGGGGCTACACCCCACAGAGCCCCAGCTACAGCCCCACTTCTCCCAGTTACAGCCCCACCTCCCCCAGTTACAGCCCCACCTCACCCAACTACAGCCCCACCTCTCCCAGTTACAGCCCCACCTCACCCAGTTACAGCCCGACCTCACCCAGTTACAGCCCCACCTCACCCAGTTACAGCCCCACGTCCCCGAGCTACAGCCCGACCTCCCCCAGTTACAGCCCCACCTCGCCCAGTTACAGCCCGACATCGCCCAGTTACATACAGCCCCACCTCACCCAACTACAGCCCAACCTCTCCCAGTTACAGCCCCACCTCACCCAGTTACAGCCCGACCTCGCCCAGTTACAGCCCCACCTCACCCAGTTACAGCCCCACGTCCCCGAGCTACAGCCCGACCTCCCCCAGTTACAGCCCCACCTCGCCCAGTTACAGCCCGACATCGCCCAGTTACAGCCCGACGTCTCCCAGTTACAGCCCCACCTCGCCGAGCTACAGCCCCACCTCTCCCAGTTACAGCCCGACCTCGCCCAGTTACAGCCCCACCTCACCCAGTTACAGCCCAACCTCGCCCAGCTACAGCCCCACTTCACCCAACTACAGCCCCACCAGCCCCAACTACACCCCGACCTCGCCCAACTACAGCCCCACCTCTCCCAGTTACAGCCCCACTTCCCCCAGTTACAGCCCCACCTCTCCCAGTTACAGCCCGTCCAGCCCCCGCTACACCCCGCAGTCGCCCACCTACACCCCCAGCAGCCCCAGTTACAGCCCCAGCAGCCCCAGTTACAGCCCCACGTCCCCCAAGTACACCCCGACCAGCCCCAGCTACAGCCCCAGCTCCCCCGAGTACACCCCGACCTCGCCCAAGTACAGCCCCACATCCCCCAAGTACAGCCCCACGGGTCGGGGTTGTCACCCCCAAACCCCCAAGTTCCAGTGGGGACAGGGCTGTTGTCACCCCTCAGATCCCCATAGACTGTTGGGGTGACCCTGAAATTGGGGTCACACCAAAGGGTGGTGATGGCTAAATTTGGGGTCACCCCTAAATTGGGGTCACCCCCAAAATTGGAGAGATCCTCAAGACTGAGGGGGAGCCCCTGAATTGAACTGGACCCCAAAGTTCAGAGGGGGCAACCCCCAAACTGGGGCTGACCCCTTAATTGGGGTGAAATCCTTAAATTGGGTGACACCCCTAAATTGGGTGATGCCCTTAAATTGGGGGGTTGATCCCCAAGCCAGGCTCTGACCCTTGAATTTGGGGTGACCCCCAAGTCGAGGGTGACCGCCCCAGTTTAGAAGTGACCCCCCAGTCCAGGGGTGGGGGAGGGGCAGGCGTGGGACCCCCTCCCCCGATTTTGGGGTGTCTGGTGGGGGGGGGTTGTAATTTATGGGGTTCGTTAATAAGGATGGGGAGGGGGTGGGGGAGGGGTGCTCATTGGTGGCGGTTTTGGGGGTTCAGGGGAGGGGTCCTTTGCCCCTCCCCCACCCCCCTTTATTTTGCTGTTTTCACTTTTGGGGTTGGGGGGGGAAGGGAAGTGAATTTTGGGGAATTTCAGATTTTGGGGGAAGTTAATAAAAGTTTTACTGCTTTTCACCTGTGACTGTTTTTGGGGGAGGGGGGGACACCCCAAAACTTCTCATTTGGGGACAGCTGGACACAGCTGGACATGGAGCTTGAGGGGGATGTGGAGGAACATCAGGGTGGGCGTGGGTAGGTCATGGAGGAACACCGTGGTGGCCATGGTTGGGTCATGGTGGCCATGGTTGGGTGGTGGTGGCCGTGGTTGTGTGGTGGTGGCCGTGGTTGGGTGGTGGTGGCCGTGGTTGGGTCATGGTGGCCATGGTTGGGTTGTGGTGGCCATGGTTGGGTCATGATGGCCGTGGTTGGGTCATGGTGACCATAGTTGGATCATGCTGGCCATGGTTGGGTTGTGGTGGCTGTGGTTGGGTCATGGTGGCCATGGTTGGGTTGTGGTGGCCATGGTTGGGTTGTGATGGCCATGGCTGGGCTGTGGTGGCCATGGTTGGGTCATGGTGGCCATGGTTGGGTCATGGTGGCCATGGTTGGGTGTTGGTGGCCATGGTTGGGTCATGGTGGCCGTGGTTGTGTCACCCCTTGGTTGCTCCCCACCCACTCCAGGAGCCCTTTTAGGGACCCCCCCAAACCCTCAGGTGACATTTTGGGGTGCCCTGTGTCACCCTGTCCCCCCCGGTCACATTTTGGGGTGCCCTGTGTCACTCTGTCCCCCCGTGTCACATTTTGGGGTGTCCCAGGTCTCTCTGGACCCTTTTGGGGTCGGTTTTGGGGTCGCATTTCCGGGTCCCCAAATCGCGCGCGTTCCCTTTTGGCGGGAAAAGCCGAAACCCCGCCCACACAGGGAGGAGCCAGCCCAAATCGCGCCTGATTCCATATATGGACATGTGGGCGTGGCCAACAATGTGCGTCGACACAGAAGGGGCGTGGACAGCAAAGGGGCGTGGCCTCGCTCTGTCATGGCGGCGCCCACAGTGGACGGTGCGCGTGCGGGGGGCGGGAGGATTTGGGGTTTTTTTGGGATTTATGGGGGGATTTTTTTGGTTTTTTGGGGGGATTTGTGGTCGGGGGCGGGGCTCTGACCTCTCCCCTCCCCCCGCAGCCCCTCAGGGGGTCCCCGACCCCCCCGGGCCCCTCCAGGACGCGGCCGCGGAGGAGCCCGAGGAGGAGCTCGAGTGAGTTTTGGGGGGGATTTTTTTGGGGTCCCTGAGGGGTTTTGGGGTCCCTGACCCCCCCCCCTCGGCTCTCCCCCGTTTCCCCCCGACCCCTTTTAGGGACCCCCCCCAAACCCTCAGGTCACATTTTGGGGTGCCCTGTGTCACCCTGTCCCCCCAGTCACGTTTTGGGTTGCCCTGTGTCACTCCGTCCCCCCAGGTCACATTTTGGGGTGCCCTGTGTCACCCTGTCCCCCCCGGTGACATTTTGGGGTGCCCTGTGTCACCCTGTCCCCCCCGGTGACATTTTGGGGTGCCCTGTGTCCCCCCAAACCCTCAGGTGACATTTTGGGGTGCCCTGTGTCACCCTGTCCCCCCCGGTCACATTTTGGGGTGCCCTGTGTCACTCTGTCCCCCCAGTCACATTTTGGGGTGCCCTGTGTCACTCTGTCCCCCCTGGGTCACATTTAGGTGTCCCCCGGACCCCCCAAACCCTCGGGTGACATTTTGGGGTGTCCTAGGTCACTCTGGACCCTTTTGGGGTCGGTTTTGGGGTCGCATTTCCGGGTCCCCAAATCGCGCGCGTTCCCTTTTGGCGGGAAAAGCCGAAACCCCGCCCACACAGGGAGGAGCCAGCCCAAATCGCGCCTGATTCCATATATGGACATATGGGCGTGGCCAACAATGTGCGTCGACACCGAAGGGGCGTGGACAACAAAGGGGCGTGGCCTCGCTCTGTCATGGCGGCGCCCACAGTGGACGGTGCGCGTGCGGGGGGCGGGAGGATTTGGGGTTTTTTTGGGATTTATGGGGGGATTTTTTTGGTTTTTTGGGGGGATTTGTGGTCGGGGGCGGGGCTCTGACCTCTCCCCTCCCCCCGCAGCCCCTCAGGGGGTCCCCGACCCCCCCGGGCCCCCCCAGGACGCGGCCGCGGAGGAGCCCGAGGAGGAGCTCGAGTGAGTTTTGGGGGGGATTTTTTTGGGGTCCCTGAGGGGTTTTGGGGTCCCTGACCCCCCCCCCTCGGCTCTCCCCAGTTTCCCCCAGTACGAACTGGGCCGCCCCCCCCGCCAGGTTTGGGGGGCGCGGGAGGAATTCGCGCGGCGCCCCGAAAATTTCCTGCGAGGCTGCAAATGGTGAGAGACCCCAAAACCCCCCGAAAACCCCCCCAAAAATCACCCCAAACCCCCCCAAAACCCCCCCTAAAATCACCCCAAAACCCCCCAAAAATCACTCCAAAACCCCCCAAAAATCAGCCCAAAACCCCCCAAAAATCACCCCAAAACTCCCCTCAAAATCCCCCAAAAATCACCCCAAAACTCCCCTCAAAATCCCCCAAAAATCACCCCAAAACTCCCGGGGAAGGAAGTTTGGGGTCCCCTCCGGGGTGTGGGAGCGGGGGTCCCCAATATCGGGGTCCCCTGGGGGATTTTTTTGGGGTTGAAATGGGGGTCCCCCAACACTTGAGGGGGGGCAAAAATGGGGGTCCCCAACACCTGGGGGTCTCCTGGGGGGTTATTTTGGGGTCCATGGCGGGGGGGGACCCCAACACATTTGGGTTGTTTGGGGTCCATGGGGTGACTCGAGGGGTCCCCAGGGGGGTTATTTGGGGTCCATGTGGGGGTCCCCAGGGGGGTTATTCTGGGGTTCCATGGGTGGCGTCCCCAACACCTGGGGGTTGTTTTGGGGTTCCATGTGGGGGTCCCCAGGGGCGTTATTTGGGGTCCCTGGTGTGACTCGGGGGTCCCCAGGGGGGTTATTTGGGGTCCCTGGGGTGACTCGGGGGATTTGGGGGGGCTGGAGGGATTTGGGAGGGTCTGGGGGTCACTTTGGGGGGGTTTGGGGTCACTCGGGGTCACTCAGTGGTCACTCGGGGTCAGTGGTCACTCAGGATCACTCAGGGTCAGTGGTCACTCAGGGTCAGTGGTCACTTGGGGTCAGAGGTCACTCAGGGGTCACTCAGTGGTCACTCGGGGTCACTTGGGGTCAGTGGTCACTCAGTGGTCACTCAGGGTCACTCAGGGTCACTCGGTGTCACTCAGTGGTCACTCGGGGTCAGTGGTCACTCGGGGTCAGTGGTCACTCAGGGTCACTCGGGGTTGCTCAGTGGTCACTCAGGGTCAGTAGTCACTCAGTGGTCACTCGGGGTCACTCAGTGGTCACTCAGGGTCACTCGGGGTCACTCGGGGTCGCTCTGGCCGCAGCTCCCGGCCGTGCGGGTGGCCGAGGGTGACACCATCTACGACTTCACCTGGTACCCCCTGATGGACTCCAGCGACCCCCCGAGCTGCCTGTGAGCACCGGGGGGACGGGGGGGACTGGGAGGGACTGGGGGGGTGGGGCTGAAAGGGGTGTGGCCTAAAGGAAGGGGGCATGGCCTAAAAGGGTGGGGTCTGTGAGTGGGTGGGACCCTGGGGCGTGGCCTAAAGGGTGGAAAGGGGTGGGGTTTAAAGGGGTGTGGCATGGCAGAATATGAATGAGTGGTGCACAAGAGGGCGTGGCTTTGAGGGGCGTGGCCCAAGGCAGGCAGGGCTTGGCTGGGTGGAGTCCAAGGGGGCGTGGCCTGACCAATGAGGGCGTGGCCTAACCTTTGTCTCCACCCCCTCAGAGGGCGGGAATGGCCAGCGAGGCCTGATTGGCTGCCTGGCCTTCAGCCCCAGCCAATCGCTGTTCGCCTGTGGCTCCTATGATGGCAAAATATGAATGGGTGGAGCACAAGAGGGCGTGGCTTTGAGGGGCGTGGCCCAAGGCAGGCAGGGCTTGGCTGGGTGGAGTCCAAGGGGGCGTGGCCTGACCAATGAGGGCGTGGCCTAACCTTTGTCTCCACCCCCTCAGAGGGCGGGAATGGCCAGCGAGGCCTGATTGGCTGCCTGGCCTTCAGCCCCAGCCAATCGCTGTTCGCCTGTGGCTCCTATGGGCGGAGCCTGGGTCTGTACCCGCTGGAAGGGGGCGGGGCTGTGGCGCTCTGGCCCCGCCTCCCGGCCGCGCCCACCCACCTGCTCTTCAGCCCCTGCGGGACGCAGCTGTACGCGGGCGGGAGGAAGGTGGGCGTGGCCTAATGCGGGTGTGGCCTTGGTGGGCGTGGCCTAATGTGGGTGTGGGTTTGGGTGGGGCATGGGGTGGGCGGGGCCCGTGGGTTATGAGGGCGTGGCCTCATGGTGGGCAGGGCTTTGTGACTGTGGGTGTGGCCTCAGTGCTGGGGGTGTGGCCTCCAGGATTGCATACACTGGGCGTGGCTTTAGGGGCGTGGTTTTGGCCTGATTGACATATCCCATTCTAGTGCGTGTGGCTTTATGGGCGGGACTTATGGGCTGGCAGTTTGAGGGTTAAGGGGGCGTGGCTTCAGGCCTGATGGGCGTGCCCCGGCCTGGCCCCGCCCCCAGGACCGCCACATCCTGTGCTGGGACCTTCGTGTCCCCGAGCGTCCCCTCCTGGCGCTGCCGCGGCGCGTGGCCACCAACCAGCGCGTGACCTTTGACCTCGACCCGTGAGTGACACCGGGGCTGCTGGGGACCCTGGGGACACCCGGGGCACTTTTGGGGAACACCTGGGGCACTTTTGGGGACACTGCGGACACATGGGGCACTTTTTGGGGGGTCCTGAACATCTGGGACACCTTCTGGGGACATCGGGGACATTGGGGCAGCTTTTGGAGACACTGGGGACACCTGGGGCACTTTTTGGGGGAAATCTGGGGGGTTCCTGGACACCTGGGTCACTTTTGAAGGGATTTTTGGGGGGTCCTGGACACGTGGGTCACCCTTTGGGGACATCCTGGACACTTGGATCCCCTTTTGTGCTGGATTTTGGGGTGTCCTGAACACCTGGGTCACGTTTAAGAAGGAATTTTTGGGGCTCTTGGACCCCTGGACCTTCTCCTGGGGCAGATTTCGGGGGTCCAGAACACCTGGATCTGATTTTGGGGGGGTCCAAGGCGGTTTTTGGGCCCCTCGGGCCCCATTTTTGGGGGGTTTTCGGGGGGATTTGGGGTCTCAATCCCCCCTGGCGCCCCCCAGGTCGGGGCGGTTCCTGGTCAGCGGTGACACCGATGGCTTTGTCACCGTGTGGGACACGCTGGCCCCCCCCGGCCCGGGGGACCCCCCCGAGCTGCCCCCCCTGCTTCGCTTCCGCGCCCTCCGCGACTGCGTCAACGGCACCAGGTACCCCAAAAACCGGGGAGCGCCCCAAAAACCGGGGAGCGCCCCCAAAAACTGGGGAGCACCCCCAAAAACCGGGGAGCACCCCCAAAAACCGGGGAGCACCCCAAAAAACCGGGGAGCGCCCCCAAAAACCGGGGAGCGCCCCAAAAAACCGGGGAGCGCCCAAAAAACCGGGGAGCGCCCCCAAAAACCGGGGAGCGCCCCAAAAAACCGGGGAGCGCCCAAAAAACCGGGGAGCGCCCCCAAAAACCGGGGAGCGCCCCAAAAAACCGGGGAGCGCCCAAAAAACCGGGGAGCGCCCCCAAAAACCGGGGAGCGCCCCAAAAAACCGGGGAGCGCCCAAAAAACCGGGGAGCGCCCCCAAAAACCGGGGAGCGCCCCAAAAAACCGGGGAGCACCCCCAAAAACCGGGGAGCGCCCCGAAAAATTGGGGAGCCCCCACCAAAAAAATATTGGGGACGCCCCCCAAAAAAATCAGGGAACGCCCCCAAAAAATATTGGGGAACCCCCCGAAAAAACACTGGGAACCATCTCAAAAAAACATTGGGAACCTCCCCAGAAAATCGGGGAACCCCCCAAAAAAAACATTGGATACCCCCCCAAAAAGAACTGAGAACCCCCCTCTAAAATACCTGTGATCACCCCCCAGATTTTCACCAAAATTTCCCCAAATTTCCACCCCAAACTCCCTAATTTCCCCAAATTCCCACCCCAAACCCCCAAATTTTCACCAAAATTTCTGCAAATTTCCACTCCAAACCCCCAAATTTCCCCAAATTTCCACTCCAAACCCCCAATTTTTCACCGAAATTTCTGCAAATCCCAAATTTTCACCAAAATTTCTGCAAATTTCCACTCCAAACCCCCAAATTTCCCCAAATTTCCACTCCAAACCCCCAATTTTTCACCGAAATTTCTGCAAATTTCCACTCCAAACCCCCAAATTTCCCCAAATTCCCACCCCAAACCCCCAAATTTTAACCAAAATTTCCCCAAATTTCCACTCCAAACCCCCAATTTTTCACCGAAATTTCTGCAAATTTCCACTCCAAACCCCCAATTTTCACCAAAATTCCCCCAAATTCCCCCCCCAACCCCCAAATTTCCCCAAATTCCCACCCCAAACCCCCAGATTTTCACCCAAATTTCCCTGAATTTTCACTCAGATTCCCCCAAATTTCCACCCAAATTCCCCCAAATTTCCCCCCCAAACCCCCAAATTTCCATCCAAATTTCCCACAATCCCTCAAATTCCCCAACTTCCCTCAATCCCTCAATCCCACAAATCCCCCAATCCCCACATTGCCACAATCCCCCAATCCCAAAATTTCCAACTCCCCACAAATTCCCACAATCCCCAAATTCCCCAACTTCCCTCAATCCCACAATCCCCCCAATCCCCACAACGCCCCATATTTCCAACTCCCCCGGTTCCCACAATCCCCAAATTCCCCAACTTCCCTCAATCCCACAATCCC